AACTGGGAAATACTGATTGAAAATAAATGGGCCAATAGAAATCTGTTCAGAGAACAGCAGAAAGATTTATGGCCCTAAGAATATTGTGGACTCGTGTTGCTGCCAACTCTAACCAGCATAATCAATGTCCTTGAAAAGGGATACATGGATCATGGTTTGAAACATGCATATGACCTCCAGAGCCCCATGGCAACCCCTGGCCCCACTTCCAACTTGTTTCGAAAAAAAGAAAATCAAGGGAGTGGTGTGTTTTTTCTTTTAGGGACAAGGGGCCATTTTGCTAGTTTTTCAGTGATCCTTGTGGTGCAGTCAAAACTTTGCCCAAGACCTGAATTTGATGGCTCAGATGGTTGACTAAGACTTCCATCCTTCTGAGGTCAGTAAAATGAGTACCCAGCTCACAGGATGGGTGTGTGTGGAATGTGTAGCCTGCATAATTAAAAATTGTGAACCATTCAGGGAGTGCTGTAAGCACTGTGGGGTGGAATATAAGCAGCACACGTTGCTTTGCTTTGCTTGACTCTGATGAGGTATTTTACTTCCAGCCTCCTTCCTAGCAACTGGGGAGATGACAAATGAAACAGGCACCCTGTGATCACAGGATTTCCGCCCTTAAAAAAAAAAAAAAGACTACAGCGTGATTCCATGATGAGTTCACTTCTGCCCTTGCAAAATAATTCTTTGTTACGGTGTCCCCTTAGTTCCAAACTATCTGTTTTACCTCAGGGAAGACGAAGAGGAGGAGGAAGGCCATGTAGATGAAAGCCAGACATTTTAAAGGTTTTCAGCTTTCCCTGCCAGATGGAGGACATTAGGCTAAAAAAGAGGACATGTCCTCCTTTTACTGGACATCTGGCAACCCTATTTCCAGGGCCTAAAACAGCACAAAGGAATGGGAAAAAACAAAACTAAGCAACTAGCGGAGTTCCTACCTCGCTAACTGGCATGAGGGCCCTTTGAGCTGAAAAGCATCAGCATTGGGGAAGGGGTATGGGAATAACTCTTCAGTATTCACATATGGGTTTGTGTGGTACTTGGACCTCTGGAAATAGTTTGGAGTCTACTGTATATTGCCTAGAATTTGGATTTATGTTATGCTAATATAATAAAACAAAAGGGTTTGTACATCCACAGAAGTCCAGATTATAAATGAGAGACGAAGTCTCAGGATGTAGAAATTAGAATCAAGTTCTATATTCTGTATTCTTTAAATGGGTAATTAAAAAGCTCTGGCTCAATGCCTTTCGGCAAAGCCTTCTTAAGGAGCAAGCTTCTTTACACTCTCTGCACCTTTCTTTTGTCTATACCAGCTCCAAAACTGATTGAAAATGTTTGAAAGTGCAGGCACTAAGAAAGGAGGCATTTGTACACCTGGATCCCAGGGTTTCAGGATGTCAAAACCAAATGGGGTGGGTGGGGGGTCAATGCCACATATTCCAGCAGTAAAACTGATCTGGTGTGTATTGTCATTAGTGTTACCCATTTTCACACACTAAATTAACATTATTGGGCAATCCAGACAGATGGAGCAAGTTTTTACTTTAGATCCACTAATAGAATGGTTTTTATTTTTCTGTACTTTTGGAAATGCTCATAGGATCAGTTCGGAAAAAGAAGATTACATCCTTTGTTTATACATGTTTGTTGTCAACTAATAAATATGATACACATGGTTTTTTTAAATAAATAGAATGGGGAACTGGACTGCTCCATATTGCCCATTCAGTGAAAGAAGGCATGAAACAGTATACCTAAAGTACAGTGGACCCTCGATTTACAGACAAGAAGGCATAGTACAACTAAAGTATCTGTGAAAACTTAAGCTGTCACTTGCCCAGCAAAAAAATTGTATTTGGAATATATTGGATGCTACAGCATGTTTTTAGGAAGGGTTTCAGCAACTCTTTGGAGTGAAAATTTAAGCTGTCATTGGCCATCAAAAAATTGTATTTAGAATATATTGGATGCTACAACATGTTTTTAGGAAGGGTTTCAGCAACTCTTTGGAGTGCTGACGTTGTAATTCTTCTGCCGCATCCCATGGGCGTATGCTGTTATATGCTTGTTTTGGGGAGACGTTATCACCTGTATTAATTTGCTTATGGTCTTTTCTCTGATTGTTTGGATACTTGTGTACTTTTAATTTACGTACTTGACTGTCTTGGAGATTAACCACTGCACAGTGTAAAAGACGTCTCCGTACCCTTACTGTTGCTAAGATGACGATGACGACAACAACAACAACTATAATGATAATAGTGCATCATTATAAGTCAGTTCTGACTTATGCAACTCTTTTCAGGGGGGTTTAGTTAAGAGAGTTAAGAAGTGATTTATCATTCCCTTCCTCTGGAGGACTCTGGGATTGTGCGGCTTGCTCAAGGCCACCTTTTCTCTGATTGTTTGGATACTTGTGTACTTTTAATTTACGTACTTGACTGTCTTGGAGATTAACCACTGCACAGTGTAAAAGACGTCTCCGTACCCTTACTGTTGCTAAGATGACGACAACAACAACAACAACAACTATAACGATAATAGTGCATCATTATAAGTCAGTTCTGACTTATGCAACTCTTTTCAGGGGGGTTTAGTTAAGAGAGTTAAGAAGTGATTTACCATTCCCTCCCTCTAGAGGCACTCTGGGATTGTGCGGCTTGCTCAAGGCCACATAGGGTGCCTCCTAATTCACTGAGCTCTTCAGATGGCTTAATAACAGACAGTGTACTGTTAAGTCAATTCTGACTTATAGCAACCCTTTTAAGGATTTTCCAGGTAGTGAATACTTGGAAGTGTTTTACCAGTCTCTTCTTCTGGGGGTGCCCTGGGACTGTGCAGCTTGCCCAAGGCCACATCAGCTGGCTCTTTCTGGGAGGCACAGTGGGGAATTGAACTCCCAACCTCTGGTTTTGCAGCTGGAAACCTAACTCAGTGATCTATCCAGCCAACTATGAGATTTACATTACAGCATTGGAAAAATAAATACCCACCCTCCATTGACTCAATGGATAGAGAACCTTATGACATTATTGACTTACAAATGTGTGGCTTATAGGCAACAACTGTGTATAGGTACATTTTTATATATTTGGAAGTCTTTTATAGAAGCTTATGTATAAGCATCTATCCTTTTTCCTGTCCCCCCCCCCGTTTCTTTTTTGCTCGCTCCCTCTCTCTCTTTTCCTCTTGGGTTAGCAGTATTATTGTGTATCTAGTTTTATTGCAGTGCCTTTTCAGGTATTTTGCTCTTTTCTCTCATTTTGGTCAGTAAAATTGGGAGGGGGGGGAAAGAAATTTTAAAATCCCTACAAATGTTTTAGTAACTACTGTAGATAGGCAGTGAATACCACAGTGCATGGGTTAGCTACCAGCAGTTTTCCTTCTTTTTCTCTCTGTGATTAGCCAGGGTGGGTGATTTGCTGCTACTCCCTATACTAGATCCAGCTAAAACTTTTGTTAGAATCAGATCGAAACATAGTATGATAATTAAGAATTGCTTTCCAGATTTTATGTCACATTTGAGGTAAAATACAGCTTTGCCATTTCTTGTGCAGTATGAAAAAATAATAGATATGAAAATTAATTAAGATTATTATTTTGTGTCTTCACAGCTTTCTTACTCTTAATGTGATCACTGATAAATGCCCATTAATTGTTCTGTGCAGAGACTGTTTATATAATTTCCCCATTATTGGATTTTGTAGATGTTTTAATTAGCCATTAAAGCTCTGCTGGAAATGTGGATGGAAAAGCTTTAGGTATCTTTTTTCCTTGCTTCAGAGGACTGACACATAGGCAGCCCATTTTATACCTTTGTAAGGGAAGGAATTCTCTAGCTTTACTATGTCTGACACACTAAAAGTAAAAAGCCCAAGTGTATTTTTTTAGTTGATGCATATCTCTGTGTTCATTTGTTAGAAATTCTAATACACATTTCATTGGCAGAAAACCAGCTGCTCAAATTAGCCAAATAATTGTTTTAGTGAAAGGACAATTGGTCAGCCTTCCAGGAATGTATTTGCAATACATCCATACTGTATAGTGTATGTACTGGCATTTTATTTTGGCAGTGGTGCACGTTTCACATAGTTCACCATTTTGGTATGCGTCTTCTATTTCTGGAGCAGGCTTTGCTTATAGCCCGACATCATGCCTCATGTCACGTTCATGCTCTTTCTTCTGTCTGCAGTGAAAGGTAGGTCTTTCAAAACTCTGGACAGAGGCCTGGGAGCAGACAGCCTTTATCAAAGGGAGTTCAGTCTCAGTTGAGCCCTTTAAAGCTTTTTGGGTCTGATGGCTAATGAAAACATTCATCCATTTGCTGAGGAATGTTGATCCTTAGACAGAACACTCTGTCGTTTCCTTGTGAGCCTCCATCAGGCATGATGAATCTGCACTAGTGAACTGGCTCAGTGGAGTTTGAGACCCTTGAAGGTATGGAGGGTGGCCCTTCAGTGGAACCTTCCCAAGAATCTAAGCTTGGGGGTGGGGCTCAGGTGCAAGGGTTGGGAATCTGGGAGATTCTTGGTTTTTCGACTCCTATTCAATGGTAAGGATTTACCAGTAACCTCTTAGTCTCACCAGTGTCCAGGCTGCTGCTGGGCTTCAGGGTCATTACTGATCATTATCTGGTTTGTTGACAACCTTTTCAGCACAGATAAGCTATAACAGAGCAGAGCAGTTGCAGTTCCTGGTCATAGTGAGGTTATCTAATGGAATGGTGCTAAGTCTAAGTGCTGGCAACTACCTAATTGAGGTTTGTAGAGCAGAGCAGGGAAACTGAAAGAAAGACGCCAGAGCAGTAGTGATGCACAGAATTAGGCCGTTTAAATCCACTTGACTTCTGTAGGGCTTAAGCAGCACATTAAAAATTGTTCATTTTAATTCCCAATGAACTGTGGCCTCAGCCTCTTCCAAAGAAGCTGCTCTGTTGACTGTCCCCATTGTGTGTGAATCTTGTAAAGGTTCTACATTTTTTTCTCCTTTCCTTTTTTTTCCAGCTGAAATAAAGATCTGTTTTAAATATTACCATGGTGTAAGTGGAGCATTGAGAGCAACCACTCCATGTATTACTGTGAAAAACCCTGCTGCAATGGTGAGTATATTTATTCATAGCCGACCTACAGCTTATTTAAAACTAATATTAACTTTGCTAATTCAGTCTGGCAACTGGCATTTTCCCAAAATGATCTCAGCTGATGGAGCTGCAAAGGTGAAAATATGATATGTGAAATCCTGCCATGGTCACTGAAGTTTATCTTTACTTAATCACTGATGCCAGTGGAGTTGACTTCAAAATATCCATGATTTTATCAACTTATTTTAGCAGCATGGAGGAACAAACTAGCCTTATATCTTCCCAGAATGGGTCTGGCATGGAGACATACTGTCTCTACTGTTCCTCATTAATATTCATTAGGATCACTGATATACTTCCTCATCAGTATGCAAAATGGCTTGCTAGTATTCTTCTTCAGGCCACAGAAAAATATCTCATTCTCCCTCCCTCCCTCCCCTCCTTCCCCCCTCTGTGTGTGTGTGTTGGCATTCAGAAGTACGATAGTTCTCTGTGAGAGGAGAGGGAGCAATCGTATGCGTGAGCTCCATCTTCCCACCATCATTTTCGTCATACATATCTGTAATACATATATAATGGCTGACTGTACTAGAGAGATTCCTCTATCCACAGTGGCTCATGGTGATATTTAGAAAACTTAAAAATCAGGATTTTAATTTGCACTGAGTGTCTCTGAGGTTATGGCAGAGCTATCCACTATGATCATACTCTCTGTGCGTTTTTAGAGGAGGTGAGCTGTGTTAGTCTGTGCAAGCATATCGGGCAAAATCCAAGAAACAAAACAAAACAAAACAAAAAGAACAAAAGCTGTGGCACCTTAAAGACTATTATATTTTAATGTGAGCTTTCATGGACAAGCCCACTTCTGTGTGCAGAAGGTGGCGGAAAGTGATTAAAAGTATCATTTGCACATTCTGAGCCCCAGTTCTCAAGTGTAGGAATTCGGCACTTCCCAAATGTCTCTGTGCGCCTCTTTTCTGACTCAGATTGTTAATAGAAATGATCAGTTTTAATTTACTTATAAAAGAAGTGACACCTAGCATTGCAGCCATGAAATCTGCCTTGCCTAGTTATCATCTGAAAGCAGTACTTCGTCACTTAGCCTACAGAGCTGAAGCAATTAAGTGGGAGTCTCTAAGGCCATCTCAGTAATTCTTTCAGGCAATCTTATTTTGAGGGGTTCAGTTAAACCTTCAAATGTTGCAGCCTTGTATCTCTGTTTGTGGGAATAACAGTAGGTGAATGCATATGTAGTCTTGTAGCCACAGTAATACATATCATACCATTCATGCTGTATATTCCTTAGAGAGCAGCATGTTTTGCTATATGCAACACATATGCAACAGTTTTTTCCCCCTGCAGAATGGCATGGAAAGTCTCGTAGAGTCAGGTATGTCATTGCTCCTCAGAAATGAGTGTCTGGCACCCGCCGTTTCTGGACATAGGCTCTGTTGCAGCAAGGCCAGCTGGCGTATGTAAAACTATACATGCATGCCTTCTACACCAGCATAGCAAGAGTATATGCAACAACAAGAACATACAACAGTATGAAGCAGTATATCGTCATCCTTGAAGAGGCATGTTTCTGTTTATGTGTGTGTTGGCTAGGCTCCCTTCCATCCCAAATTCTGCTCACTCCCTTCCTTCCTTGAGGCTACCGAACAGGTTTCACGATCTTTCAGCTTGTCCTTTTACCCCTAACAAAAAGAAAAGCCACTGTGTATTTTGCTAGTATCTCAGAGTTCCCCTAAAGCAGGTTGAGATCCCTCCATTGTGTGTTAAGTAGAGATTGGGGGTATTCATATACGAATACCCCTGCACAGCTGGACTTAACAAGGGGCCGGCCCCTGTGCCCGGCCCATCCCCTCACACATGTGCCAGTGGTAGCCTCACTCATCCTTCCAGTCGCTCCCGGAGCTCCGCTCTCTTCCTGCTCGCCTGGCCACTCCAGGTAGTGGGAGGGAGGATGAGTCTCCCCGCATGGCTGCTGAGTTCCTAGCCGAGCAGGAAGAGAGTTGAGCTCCAGGAGCGTTTGGAAGGGTGAGTGAGGCTGCTACTGACACACACATGAATGGACATGTTAAGTCCAGCTGCGCGGGAATATTCGTATTTGTATATGAATACCCCCATCTCTAGTTTAGATATCTGGCTGCAGAGCCAGATGTTCAGTTTGATTCCCCACTGTGCTTCCTGCAAGCAGAGCTAGTCTATGTGGCCCTGGGCAGACTTTTATTTATTTATTTCCTATGCGCCCGGACCGCTTTGCGAGCTCCCCCGGCCGCCCTCGTAAGGTGTAAGGTGGGGGGGAAGAGAGAGAAAGGCGAGGCGAGAGGCAGCTGGTGGGCAGATTAATGCCGAAGCCAGGCGAGGCGGAGAGAGAGCGGGATTCGAACCCGCCGAGCTGGGCTTTCCAACAGGGGGGGGGGAAGGAGATCGAGGTGGCCCTTTGATGGGGACCAAACTGCTGATGCGGCCCCCGATGAATTTGAGTTTGACACCCCCGACATAGAAAGAAGAGAAAATTCATTGTTGTGACAGCAGCCATCTTGAAATGGAATTTGAATGTATATTCATCATATGCCTTATGCCTCATGGACACAATGAGTTGGATCCAGACCTATGGATGTTCAAAACAGGAGCCAAAGAAATTTGTGAGAGCAATAAAATCTGAAAGAAATCACATTGAATTTATATACATTGCATAGAAGAAATATAGATTGCACTGAGGTAAGTGGGGAAAGGTGGTGAGGCCCTCTTTTGTTCACAATTGCCCCCTGCCTCGTAAAAACCAGTTTGTCTCCAGTTGGTTTCCCCCCCTCCTAGTAGAAGTCCCATGAGAGGAAAAAAGGTAGAGAGAGACCATTTTAGGAAGAAGTATTTCAGCTCCTAGTGCACAACACATTTCTGCTCTCCTGCTTTCTAAGGATGTGATAGCAGCCTGGTTCTGAAGCACTGGTCAGCTGCCATGACATCTAGATTTGTCTTTCAGTGATACAAAATATGTGAACATGCTTTCTAAAATTATGGTACATACTGTATGATAAACTTGTGTGGAAAAAAATTCTCAGGTTCTCTAGGTTTCTGGGTAATACAGTGGTGCCCCACAAGACGATGTTAATTCGTTCCATGAAAATCGCTGTTTTGCGAAAACATCGTCTTGCGAAATGCAGTTCCCCATTGGAATGCATTGAAATCCGTTTAATGTGTTCCAATGGAGACAAATCATCATCGTTTTGCGAAAATCGCCCATAGGAAAACCATTTTTCGAAGTGCAGGTCAGCTGTTAAAATCGCTGTCTTGTGAAAATCGGTCCCGAAAACACCCATTTTGCGAGTCGCGGACCTAGCTGTCAAAATCGTCGTCTTGCGAAAATCGGTCCCGAAAAAAAAACATCTTGCAAAGCACGGTCCGAAACATTGTATAGCGAAAATCGCCCATAGGAAACACTGTTTTGTAAAGCGCTATAGCGATCGCAAAAACTCGTCGTCATGTGGATTCATCGTTTTATGAGGTAATTGTCTAGCAGGGCACCACTGTACTTACTTTTCAAACAAAAGGATATAACTGTGGACAGAAAGTGACCTGACCTTCAGCTGCATGTGTGTCTCCCAAGAAGCCCAGTCCAAGTGACCCAAAGATGGACTACCACTGCAAATGTATGAAAACTTGAACCCCAAACCATTTTACATCTGTGTACAGTAGAAATGATAAGATGAATTTTAGGTTGAAAGCATTAGCAACATTTCAAATATCTCAGGAGACACACAAGGAAAAATAAATTTTAACAAAATTGTACAGAGGTGGAGAAAGCCCAATGAAAGTGAAGTTTAAATGAAGTTAATTTGAGAGACCAAGTGCAAAGGATGACTATGCTATAAAGCAGGATATGTGTGTGGGTTGCCTCAAGCCACTGGAGGGGTGTTAAGTAGCCGGGACTAAACCTCTCCTCTCCCTTCAAGCTAGAGTTATTTTAACTCACTTTGGCGATGTAGGAAAGGGTGTCGCAATGGCAAAATTGGGGAAAGGGAAATGTTGGGTTTGAAGCTGCAAATAACTTTTTCTGCTCTCCAGTTTGAACGTCACCGAGGGACGTTAATGGTGGGATAGTGAGATTTCCTGGAACTCTTTCCAAACCTAACCTGTACCCCAGTTTAAGCTGATTTGGTTCCTGCTGTTGGTTAATGCTCCCTGGGTAGCTTTTTCACCTTGGTTGAAATGACGGATCATGTTCTTCAGAGTCAGGAGTATCACATCATGCCTCTGTTTGATATTCTGCATGAAGTGAAAAGGGGAAATGACTTGGCCAAGGCGAGGGGGGGGGTCATGTCTCAGCAGGTATGCCAAGATGATGTCCTCTGGCAATGCTTGGCTAAGCTGCTGCTGCTCATTTACTCATCTCCAGCTGTGAGAAAAATGGCCACCTTGCTCCAAAAACAGCTTTGTTGGAATACACTTTGTTTTCTGTGAAAAGGCCTGAACTAAAATGAAAACACTAGACAAAAATACACTATGCGGAATCTGGTTCAAAGATAGGGCATCACAAACATTGCCAGAAGGTGGAAAACAGGTGTTAAAATAGATAGTTTTGATGGCTTGATTTTGTTTTGTGCATAAAGTAGCATTGAAACCATTTGGCCGCTTGAATCATTCGCTCTCTGAGGTGTCTCTAGTGGATAGGAAATTAAAGGCATTTCAGAATCCTGAACCCTGTTCACGTGTGTGAATTTGCCACATACTTGTTTTAACAAGCAAGCTGGGGATTGGCAATATGTTGTATTATTGAACTTGGGCTTGTTAGGTATGTGGAATGTTTCCCTCTGTTTGTACACAGACCATGTGCACATATATTGTTGTTGGTATTTTAGCATTAGCTGTACAGCCAATGGAATTACAAGATCAGCACATTTACTTTGCCCTGGATTTTTCACATATTGTTAGAGTGCCTTGATTTTTTTACCATATCTCTAGCTATGGACACTATTCAGTGTGCAGCTGTGTCTTTGTTTAGAAATTGATGT